TTCCTTCCTTCCTTCCTTCCTTCCTTCCTTCCTTCCTTCCTTCTTTCCTTCCTTCCTTCCTTCCTTCCTTCCTCTCTCCCTCTCTCCCTCTCTCCCTCTCCTCACTCCCCTCCCTCCCTTCTTCTCCCCTCCCCTCCCAGCAATTTAGGCAAGAGGTGTTAAGGGTCTGAACTAAAGTGGTAGCTGTGTGAGTGGAGGAGAGTCAGATGCAAGAGATGTCAAGAAGGTAGAAATGGTGAGGGAGAATGAGGGGCCAAGGCTAGTGATGAAATTCCCAGCCTTAGGCCTTGCAAGAATGGTGCTGCCTTTGATAGTAATAGGCCAGTTTGGAAATGGGAAGGTTAGGGGAAGGATAGTGGGTTCCATTTTAATATGTTGAATTTAAGATAGCTCCAGGATAGACAGTTTGAAATGTTTAACAGGCGTTTTTAAAAGAAAGCGAGAAAAGAACCCCTTCAGCAAATCTCGCATGGATGGTGTCAGAAAAGCTGAACAGTTTTCCATTGGAGTTCCTCTGCCTTTATAAAGGAGAGGGAGGTGCGTTTTCTTAACTCATTTCTGGAACTAAGTTTGGTCTTTATAGTCATACATCATTCAGCTTTGCTTTATTATGTACGTTGTTTTCCTGCCTTTTTTACTGTGTATCAGTGTTCATAAGCCTTCCCCTACTTCACTGACACCTGTCCATTGTTCATTTCTCACAGAGCAGTAAAATGACCCACATTTTGTTGAGCCGGCCCCCAGGTTGTCAGCACCAACTTGTGTCTAGTTCTTTTTTTTTTTTTTGGTCACAAAAAGTGCTGCTATGAATATTTTGGCATATTTGGGGTCTTTATTTCTGTCTTTTATCTTCTGCTTGCCTAGCGGTGGGATCACTTAGTCAAAGGGTATGGCCATTTCAGCCGCTTTTTAGGCACAGTTCCATCAGAGTTGGACCAACTCGCGTTTCCTCCAACAGTGTATTGGTGTGCCTGGCTTCCTGTAGCTCCTCCCACATGGACAATTTCCATCTTTTGTTCTCTTTGACAGTTTTCTGGGTATGAGCTCAAGCCTAAGTGTTGTTTTATTGCATTTTTCTTACTGTTATGATTTGGCGCAGTCTTCGCATAGTCAATAACTGTTTACATTTCTCTTGGGAGTGGGCACAGATTTCCTCCCCAGATCCCCCTCCCCCCCAAAATATTCTAGCTGCATTAATAATGCTCATGTGAACACGTTTCCCTTCTCTACCTTTCATGATTTCAGAGGTACCATAATGCCAAGGAAAGAGCGCTCCAGAGTCAGCGGCTTTGGGAATGTCATTGAACGTCTCAGGGCGTTATTTCCTCATAACCAAATAAAGGGGTTGGTCTCCACATCCTCTGAGGTTCTAGATCCCTGATCTCATTGTCCTAGCCCTTATTCAAGAACTCTTCCCCTGCACACAGTGATGGAAGGTGCTTGACCTTATTCTCTCTTTATATTCAGGTCACATTCATCTGGAGCTTTTTGTGGTCAGACGTGTCAGATGCTGGGCTAACCCCAATTTCTACATTCTTTTTTCCAGTTTTCCCACAAGTTCTTGTCAGGCAAGGACTTCTTTCCCACTAGTGTCTGCTTTGGGATTTACTAAACATGCCTTTCATTTCATTCCTTTGTTTGAGCAATATTGGTAGCATTTCTAAAATCACGTCAAATAATGAGAGAATGGAGGAGTACTTGTCTTTGCTTGTTTTTTAAGGACAGGTTCTAATATTTCCCCAGTGCAAACAGTGCTAGTTCTTCTATTTAGCTTTATTCCTATATTTTTTCTTCCCTTCACAGTCAAACTCCTAGAAAAAACTGTTTACACTCATTGCCTTGATTTCTCCATTTGGCCACCCAAGTGATTTTTCTAAAGCTCAGGTCTAGTCGTATCACCCTCCTACTCAGTAAACTCCAAGGGCTTCCTCTTATCTCTAGGTGCAAATACAAAACTTCCTGTTTGGCCTTCAAAGCCCTTCACAACCTGGCTCCCTCCTCCCTTTCCAGTCTTCTTACACCTTTCTCCCAACACGTTATCTTCCACCCAGTGACACCAGCCCCTGACTGTCCCATGAACAAGCCACTCCATCTCTTGAGCTGTGGACGTTCTCTGTGGTCCCATGCGTAGAACACTTTCCCTCCTCCTCTGTGACTGTTGACCTCCCTGGCTTCCTTTCAGTCCCAGGTAAAATCCCACCTTCTACAGGAAACCTTCCCCAACCCTTCTTAATTGCAATGCTTTCTCTCTGTTAATTACTTCCCGTTTACCTAGTGTGTAGCTTGATCTGGAGATAATTGTTTGCGTGTTGTCCCCTTCATTAGATTGTAAGCTCCTTGAGGGCAGGGACTCTTTTGCCTCTTTTTGCATCCCCAGTGTTTAACACAGAGCTTGGTACATAATTGGCGCTTAATAAATGTTGATTTATTTATTGCTTCCTTTCCTCTCACTTACTCTTCAGCCTCTTGCAGTGTGGCTTCCGGCCTCATTGAGCTGCTGGAAATGAAAGTCTATTACAACGAGTTTTGTTTTTTTTTTTTTAACAGAGGTTGCCCCCACACACAGGGCCAGTGTTTAATGTTTCACTAAGAATTTTTTACAATTACTGTTCATCTCCATGCCTTTTTGCAGTTCTGTTAACTTTTTCTCCATCGATTGAGATGCTGTGTGATGTTGTGCACGCATGCTAATTATTGATACTGTTTTATTCTCTGAGATCTTTAAGCGTAAGGTAGGTCTCCTGCTAATCTCTCTGACGTTGTGAATGTGTAGTCCTGCTTTGTCTGGTAGCTTGATGGCAGCTCCCTATTTCTGGTGATTGCCTGATGGATGGATATTAATTTTTTTTCAGCATCTCATTTCCTTCTGTATGTCTTTATTCTTTTAGCTGAGGGCCTGGAGGCAGCACATGCTGCCAAACTGTTGCCGGTGCCACCAGACACCACCTCCCCCAGACCAGGATGGATTGGCCCGAGACCTTTCACCTGAGAGCCGAGGGAGGGGAGGGGCATTGCCGCAGCCTTCGCTGCTGCTTCCCGAGGACCCCCGGACCCTTCCAGGTGGCCTGTAGCGGAGGCCCTCGATGCGTGTGGTCTACGCCCAGTGGAGTGCAGGCCTTGGCAGCAGGGACTGTCGGATTTTTTCTGGTTGTTGTTTGTTCTTCATTCTTGAAGAGGACCGATGACATCATGAGGTATAAGCGCTTAGCACACAGTAAGTGCTTGATAAATGCTTTATTCATTCATTTACTCTACGCTGCAGTGTCTGAATTTTATGTTGTTATCCGTTCCATCATCACTCTGTCATCGTTCTGTTATTACTCTCTTGTATTGTTTAATCCATGTTTAATGAATTAAATTAATCCACTGTTTAATCCATTCATGTTTGAGGTTATCTTTGGCTGTGTTTTCCTCCATCCATGCCTTTTGTAGTTATTTTTATCCCTTTCTTCTTCTAAGTCAGACCTTTTTCTCTGTGGTTCATTTGCTTAGATCCCGACATTGGCTAGGCCGTGGTGTCTTCATGGATAGGTTTGAACTCTCAGTCTCTGTTTTGTCTCCATGTGCTGACATTCTATGTGACAGCTTTTATTGTGGGAGACTCTAATTATCTAAATATTTCTTCTTTCCTTTAAGTCACAAGTGGCCTGTAGCTTCCAGCCATTTGCTCTTGTACTGACCTTGACAACTGTGCAGAATACATGTCTTCCCTTGGGTATGGAACATCAAGGTGTTGTGGGAAAAGTCCTTGAATTGGACCCAGATGACCTTGATTTGAGCCCTGACTTTAATAGCAGTGTGACCTTGGGCAAATCTATCCATCGCTCTGATCCTCCATTTCCTTCTTTGAAAAAAATGTAATAACTGACTTTCCTACCTCACAATGTTGTTTTGAGGATCTACTTTGTAAATTACAAATGACCACATAAGTATAACATGATGTTAGGTTTTGTGTGTTTTAATATTTGATGGTCTTTTTGTAGATGAATGACATGAAAAACAGGTTTAAGTGGCATAGAAGGAAATGGAATATGTATATATTTTTAAAATCTCTTTTAGGTTGGGAGAGTAGGCCTGGAATCAAGCAGTCCACATTTCTGGAAGAAATTGAATTCTGGAAGAAATGGAAGAATTATTCCAGGAAAGACTCTCAATCTGTGGTTTCTGGGTCTGTCATTTGGGAGAAACTTTGGCATTGAGAACCAGGGTAGAGAGAGACAGCAGAACCCTGAGAAAAAGTATTCTGCCTGGAATGAATGTGGGAAAGCCTTCCACCTGAGCATGGCTCTTACTGGGGATCAGAAAATTGATACTGGAGAGAAACTAGTCAGAATAAGTTTGTTGCCTTGACATAACTGACTCCATTTTGGGTTAGGCCACCATTTTGTGATGAGATGTTTTAATGTTTGCTTTTCAGTATTGGGAATACGCACTTGCATGATATAGTCAGTTCGTACTTATTGTACATGGACTGTTCTGCAGACCTCTCTCTCTGCTCATGGGGCTCCATTGGGAGCTGCCCCCTCTGTGGGTGTGAGGCCCTCGGCAGCCAAGAGCAGGGACCCTCGGTGTGGGGCTGTGCTGCCACCGCTGTCGTCACCTGCCTGGGAGTTGAATTTGTGTAATGTGAATTTATGTAAAGCAAGAACTGAATGTATAGTTTGGTGAACAACATGTGTATGTTTGTAAACAAGTGGTAAACATATGGGACCCTCAATTAGGACAGGCCACCAGTGGGAAAGTTTGGTGAACAACCTTGTCATTAGCTTGTGTCACTGACCGCCAGTGCACACTCCAAGCTAGACCTGGAAAAGCCCCGTGGAGGCCCCAGCATTTGGCCTGCTCCTGGTTGTTACTAGGAGCTGGCTCCTGCATTTCCTCCTCCCCCCACCTTGGTAATTGGAGCATCTCCCTATTCACCTGAGGGCGGTGCTGTCTAATGGAGACTTGCCTGGGTCTCCCTCAGAGGGAGACACGTGACTGCGACTGAGCAGAGAGAGTCCGGCATACTGAGGGCTGCTGTCCTGGAAATCCCTGGGAAACAGGATGGGTCTGTTCTAGAGGAGATGATGATTGTGTTGTTTGAAGTGTGATTAATAAAGGCTTGATTGCCAGCAATGAAAAGTGTGAGTCTAATCACTGTTTACATTGCACTAGTTAGCATGCGTATTGGTCTCTGCATGCACTGTGTATTACGATCAGTAAGCATTTATTAAGTGACTGCTGTGTGCCAGGCACTGTGCTAAGTGCTATGGATTCGAAAAGAGGCGAAAGACAGTCCTTGCCCTCAAGGAGCTTTAGCTCCAATGGGGGAAACAACGTGTAAGCAAATATAAGCAAAACAAGCTTTATACAGGATAAATAGGGAATAATTAAGAGAGGGAAGGCACTGGAATTAAGAGGCATGAGAAAGGGTTTCCTGTCGAAGGTGGGATTTTAGTTCGGATTTAAAGGAAGCCAGGGAGGTCAGGAGTCGTCGGAGTGGAGGAGGGAGAGCGTTCTAGGCACCGGGACGGCTGGAGAAAATGCCTGGAGTTGGGAGATGAAGGCTCTTGTTTGTGGGACAGCCAGGAGGCCGGGGTCACTGGATTGAAGGGTACGTGGTGGGGAGTAAGGTGGAAGAAGACTGGAAGAGGGGCGGCAAGGTTACAAAGGGCTTCAAAGGCCCACTGGAGCATTTTGTATTTGATCCTGGAGGTCGTATGGAACCATGGGCGTTACTGAGTAGGAGACTGATGTGGAAGACCCGAGTTTATGAATGTACGTCTCATACCTTATGAATGTCATGAATGTGGGAAGACCGTGCATTCCATCTCTTATTAGATGTCACAGAGTTCATGCTAGAATGAAACCTTATGAATGTAATGAGTGTCAGAAGGCCTGCCAGATGAAACATCTTAATCAGCTTTAGGAAGATCGTACTGGAGAGAGACTTTGTGGACATAGGAAAGCTTTCTCCATGAGCATAGACCTGGCCCAGCACGAGAGTGTTCACACAGCAATATGGGAAGTGCTTCAGCTGGTGGACACACCTCACTCAATGTCAGAGTTCACATTAGGCAGAAATCATGACTATGTAATGCAGCCAGGGAAGCTGCCCAAACTACTAGTGGGGCTTATCCTTGGCAGCTCGTGCCTAATGTCTAAATGTCTGCTCACTCTCTGGGTGTGGTTTGCTAACTCCAACTTGCAGATGTGAGTTCTCAGACACATACCAGCACACAGTTACATTCGTATTCTCTTAGGGTCCTAGAGGCAAACCTTTTAAGTGGAAATCCTACTCGCCACTCTAGCTCTCGAGTCCCCAGTGATGTGTTTCTATTTACACAAATGCAGTAATGATGCTTTTATATCTTAAACATAAGCATTATGACAAGGCAAAATAAATACAGTATCACAGGTACTCATTTAAAAAAAAATTAATATATAAATAAATCACCCACAGATAAACCTGGGTCCCACTTTCCCTACCTATGTAGGGTCTGCAGAGGAGAACGGGGACCCGCAGGAACCTGACAGGGAAGCATGTTTGGAGTAAATCACAACTGCACGGCAGGCTTTGGTGTCATGATTCCGGCCCAGACCCTCTGAAGCACATAAAACCATTTTTGTGCTAACTGCTTGTCTGGTGGTTTTCACAGTCTCCAGCTGGACAATTCTTCCTCTTTTCTGTGTCAGAACATAATATTTCACTGAATAATCACATTTAGATTGGAATAGTATTTCCCTTTATCAAAAACCAGGCAGTGAGTCCGGTCACATTAGCCAAAAGAGCCTTGTTTAAAAAAAGAGGAGACAAGAGGAAGATGCTTTGAGCCCTGCTCCTATCCTTCATGGAAAAACTTTACGTTTTTATATGAGTTTAAAGAGGGACTGGATTAAATAATAGAAAATTTTAAGAATCATAATGTTCTGTGATATCTGTGTTTCTCATTCTGAAAGTTTTTACCTTATGGACATCCTTGTGATGTCTAACAATGTGCTTGTCACCCTGGTTCATGCTGTCAAGGTTTCTCCAAGGCAGAGACTAGTTTTATTTTTCCTTTTCAAGTCCTCTTTTTTGTCCAAAGCAAGGGACTGTCTTGCCAAGGGACGAGGGCTGCTAACTTCATGCAAAGGTGTATAAGCATAGAAAATAAAGTCTTACTGTATTTAAAAATGAAAGAAAAATCTTGGCTGGAGGGCTGTACAAAAACAAGTGGGTGGTGGTCGTAGTTTGACAACTCCTGCACCAGGGAATAATTTGGGGAATGTAGCTTACCGTGGGCTATGAGTATAGAAATTATTTCAAGGCTATGAGGTCCAGTGCACAATGACCGACCCATTTTCCAGGCTGCATTGCCACAGATAAAATAGAGCGGGAGTAATTATTGTGGGCTCTGTGAAGACGATCACAGAAAACCCGCGTGGTTGATGAAATGTAGGGTGGAATCTAATCCCAGAGGTTAGACTGAAGAGCAATGTATCAGGGCCAGAAGGTCTGCAGTGAAGGAGACGGGGGAGCAGAGGAGCAGCCAATAATGTAATGTAACAACATGCTGATGTAAAGGGATGGGGAGCAGCCCTCTTCCTAAGGGACTTCCTTCTGTGAGGACACAAAGGGAAGAGTGAGTCATCATGGAATTCTGTGTTTTGTTTCCATGGTGCTGCGAGCCTCTGCATCATCATTAGTGGGAAAGCTGGGATCAATTCACATAGGATCTCCAATAACTTGCAATACAGGGTCATCGGGGCCTCCAGCAGCTAGCTCCAAAGCAAGGAAGGTCAGGTCAGCGGTAGAGCCGACGGCTTGGTCAAGTTGGCCAACGAGGTCTGGATGACTTTAGAAAACAGTTGGCCGTACCCTTAGGAGTCAGTCAAGCATTTAGTAGTGTGTGCTGTGCCAGGTACCAGGCTAAGAATTGGGGATACAAAGAAAGGCAAAAAAACCAGTTTCTGATCTCAAGGAACTCACAGTCTAATGGGTGAGACAACATAAAGACAACCATGTACAAACGAGGCAGCTAGGTGGTGCAATGGCTCAAGCACTGGGCCTGGAGTCTGGAAGACCTGCGTTCAGATGTGGCCTCAGATACAAACTCGCTGTGTGACTCTGGACAAGTCACTTAACCTCTGTTTGCCTTCATCCCCCGGAGGAGGAAATGGCAAACAACTTTAGTATCTTTGCCGGGAAAACCCCCTGGACAGCGTGACGGGGTCAGGAAGAGTTGGACGTGACTCAGTGACTGGACAGCAATTGTACAAAGAAGATATAGACAGGGTAAATTAGAGATAATCAATGGAGGGAAGGCCCTAGGACTGGGGGGGGGGGGGTCACGAAAGCCTTTTTTAGAATGTAGGATTTTAGCTGAGATTGAAGGAAGCCAGGAGAGACAGAGAGCTCCAGGCACGGAGGGCAGCTAATGAAAATGCTCAAAATCGGGAGATGGGGGTGTCGTGTGAGGCACAGCGAGGGAGCCAGAGTCACTGGATTATAAAGCCATCTGGAGGGGAGGAAAGTGCACGAAGCCTGGAAAGGTGAGGAGGGGCGGGGGGGGGGGGGAAGGGCTTTGAATGCCAAACAGGGTTTTGTACTTACTCCTGAAGGTGAGAGGGAACCACTGGACTGGAGTGAGTAGGGTAGAGACGTGGTCAGTTCTGCTCTTTCGGTTAATGTCCCAGTGCGACAGCTGAGTGGAGGAAAGACTGGCCTGGGGAGAGCTTGAAGGAGGGACATTAACCAGCAGCTGTTGCCGTAGTCCAGGCCTGAGGGGATGAGGGCCTGCACCGTATGTGAAGGACGCTGGGAATCAGCAGGTCTTGGCAGTGGAGTGGACATGGGCTGAGAGAGAATGACGATGAGGATGACACTAGTTAATGGGCCTGAGCGACTTGAGGGGGGGGTGATCCCTTGATGGTAACAGGAAAATCTGGAAGAAGGGAGACGGGTTTAGGTGACCAGATAGCTGGGAATCGTCAGCATGGAGGGGATCATTAAATCCCTGGCAGCTGATAGGATGACCCAGTGAAGTAGGAGAAAAGCAGAGGGCCCAGGACAGAGCCCTGAGGGACACCTGCGGTGAGAGGGCGTGACCTGGAGGAGGAGCCCAGGTCAGAAAGGGGGGAGGAGAAGTGGGGGGGGAAAGGATGCCCCAAAAGCCCATCAAGAAGAGAGCCCAAGAAGAAGAGGGTAGTCAGTAGCGTCAAAGGCTGAAGAGAGGTCAAGAAGGATGAGGAGGGAGAAAAGGCCATTAGATGTCGAGATGAAGAAATCATCAATCACTTTGGTAAGAGCAGTTTCAGGTGAATGATGAGGTCGGGAGCCAGACTTGTATAGAATTAAGAAGGGAGGGAGGGGAGAGGAGGTGGAGGTGTCCATTGTAGACTTCCTTCCCGAATAGTTGAGCCGCTAAAGGGCGGAGAGGAACTGTGAGGGAGGTGAAATGGTAGCTGGTGGGGATGCATGAACTGAAGGCGGAGCTGGAGAGTCCAGTGGGAGTATGAACTGCTCCTTCATCTCAGCCTGACTGGATATAGAATACTGCAAAATTAAGCATGAAGAGAATAGGTAAATAGAGAAAAAGAGCAAAAAGAAAAAACCACCACCCAAAGGAAAAAGCGACCCAGGAGCCATCTGGTAGCAAGCATCTTTTTCTGTAATGTTGGGAAGGTGGTCTGCCTACTTATTGTCAATGGCCTGGGGGGAGGCTTCCTTTCCCAGAGCAATTCCCCGCTTTGATAGCCCCCTGAATAAACTCCCAAGAGGAGGCCTGGTGTGTGCAGGGAAGTGTGTATCCTGTAAGTCTGACAGAGGTGGAAGCAGCGTCTGGCAGCGGCCTTTCTATTGAGGCTCCCTTTGTGAAGGTAGTTCTTCCAATTAACCCAGGCTCCAGGTTGCAATCAGTGGGGGAGACCTTTGGGGGTGGGGCCCCCAAGCAGCAAAATTAGTCTGGGCAGCTTTCATCAGAGTCAGTTATTGAGGAAGGCACTGGAGAAAAGGCAAAAGGAATGGATTCTGTTTCATAGCGTGACAAACGATGTGATTATTAAGGAGTAGATGTGAGTGTCCTGAGGACGGGTAACAGCATGTCTGGCCAGGGAAGGGAAAAGTCATCACGTTGT